TCACTAGTAAATGCTGGCCAATCGCTGATTCACATTTTTAACATATTTTTACAGGTTTTTGTTTTACATATTCTAGCTGATTAGTGTTTGTATGTTGTGTTTGGTAATAAATTGGGCTGCTAATCTCCAATATGTTTGACTTTTTTTTTTGTATTTCGTTCTTAAGTGTGCTCTTCTATTTAATGAGCTTTTGTTTTTCACCAAATGTGTTGCAGATGGAATATAATGCTATAAATAAGTGACCGAATAACACCATCATTTAGAAAAACTATTTCCATTAAAGGTTTCTTATTTAATAGATAATAAAGGTGGTCATTATGTTTCAAATGGACTAAAGCATAGAAATTAGAATGACTCTAAACATATATTTGCTCTATAGATTACATATCTATGAATGATGAGAATTAGAGTGATATAAGTTACTAAAGTATACCTAGATAATTTAAGGATGAATACAATTAAGATTTTTTTTTACCAACGCTGACGCCATCGTCCCAGAACAGGTCCCCAACTGCTTGCCCGTCTTTAAGGTAAACGAGGAGAGACATTGGGTTCTTGCGACTAAAACATAGTTCGAAATAAGATAAAAGCTGAAGCATTAACAAATTGGTGTCCAAAAAGAAATATTTAAAAAAAATAATCACAATTCAAAATTGGGTCGAAAACAAGACATAGTTTCATAAAATATATTAACGAAACCTAACTTCCATATGTGGAACAGGGGCAAGTTTATGGATTTAGAACGCTAAATTCCGGAGTTGGATTCCAACAGTAGACACAACAGATAGCCCATTGAAATCTTACGAATATAAAACATGGTCCCATGAATTTCTCAGTATATCTTATACTTGCATATATTTTGCACTGGCAGTCATACTTTTAAAACAAAATCCCGTCTCCCAGGTGTTATAAAAGAATTATTATTGCTATTATACGGTGTATTCAATTGACTTGTGTATTGTACATAAAACAAAATAAAAATTATACACTATTCTTACGATATTTCAATACATAAATGAAACAAATAAACTTAAGAAGATCATCACAGACATTGATCTTTTCAAAACTGTTTAACTTTTCCGTAAGTGATATTGCGATATCCAACAATAAGCTTTAAATCTCAAAAGAATAATCCTGAATTTTTTATTTATTTTACAAAATTAAATCTTACCTTTCAGCAGTGTTGAGGCCCGGATCTTGAGCAGGTAGAATGAAGCCACCTCGAATGTGTATCGGAGGGTCTTCTAGATCTGTTATTTGAATTTCCTTGCCGACTTCGGTTTCTTTTTGTCCCTACATATCATACGAATTAATAAACACGCACATACATTTATATATATATACACACATAAATGTATATATATATATTGTTCTACTAACAAAATATAATAGGTACGCCAGGTGCAGCAACAAACGCTCGACTTAGCACTTGCAACGTGAGCACCTAGACACCACGGTCAGCAATCTGTATTTTGTCTCTCACAAATTTTACAACACATACTAATCCTAGCGCTAGCGGCATAAAGTAATGAATTCCATCTGCGTCTACTTAGCTGTGTAAGTTACTTACTTCTTTTTAGTTGTAAATACATGTTTTTTGTTTGTTTTTTTCTTGAAAGCATGCAACATCAGTGGTGAGTAGATAAGAACGTCGATAAATAAATAATGATAATAATAAACTCTTCCGCCTCTTCATCCGGTTACTGTCGTTCTCAGAGTTTATTTCGCAAAGCACAACGCAGAAGGAGCGTCATCCGGCATTACCTGTTGCTACGGGTTCGTTCTCGTGTGTTGTCATTTTGAAACGGGTTCGTTCTCGTGTGTTGTCATTTTGAAAAATAAAGCACTTTCTAATCCCAATTAATCTACTTAATATGTAACATTAGCAATATATTATTTCCCTTTAAAGGTCGCCCCCCAGTGACACAGCGGTATGTCTGCGGACTTACAAAGCTAGAAACCAGGTTTCGATACCCGTGGTGGGCAGAGCACAGATAGCCCTTGTGTAGCTTTGTGCATAATTAAAAACAAACAAAAACAAACAAACAAACCTTTAAAGGTCTAGTTAGATAATAATGATTGCAGTATAATTGTATTAGGTTTCCTAGCACAAAAACGTGAAATCCATAACAAATTGTATAAGCAAAAATGACAAAATTCTGCTTTAGTTCAAACAGTGGGCAATATCTCATAAAAACAAAATTACTCACATTGGATAATTTCGTTCGAGTCCTGTGAAACTGAATTTAGGTGTAGTTTGGTTCTTACTTCACCCAAGAATCATCACTAAGTTATACTGAATGAAATGTGATGTGGTGAATTGCTGGTTAAGGTCAATGTTAATTAAGTTTTACAGCATAAGAATAAAATGATGTAAGTGAGTAACAGTCAGATGCTTTAATTTGCCGTGCTTATGAGTTATAACCTACTGTTTGGGCTAAAGCATAATTTTGGTTTTTTTTTACGCTCAAGAGTTTTTGGATGGATATGAGTATGCACATCAGACAAAAATATAGTCGAGTATCAGTGTAAATGTGTAAGTAAAGCTTTTTAAAGTCGAAAGTGATTCAATGCATTAAAATAATATTATATGAAAGTACTCAACAGTAGGCTTTAAGTTTATGCTTGATTCATTTGGAATTGTGTATATAACATTAGAGCTAATAAATCGCATTTATAAAAACCATATTGAAACTTGGGAGACATTATCTCAATCGGGTCATGATGCATAAAATATATATTTATTTATAACCACGTTGTTACTTGAAAATATTTAGCTGTCCATGAGACAAAGAATATGAAGGATGTACACGCTTTATCCTTTTGACAATGTAATCAAATTGGAGATACAGATAAATAATAAAACAAAAACAATAAGGCGTATTCTTTATTGAATTCTTTCTTTGACAATAGCATTACAATGCTACAGCGACCCTCTTCCTAAGATATATATATATATTAATCATACTAATTCTTAATTCTGTTGCATTTCTTGCGAATTCATATAAATATTTACCTTACATGTGCACTGATAATTGTGGTGGACGCATTGAATGTCTGTAATGTGAGACTGATTTAGCAAGCATGCAAATAAAACATTTAAACCTGATTTCATAATTCTGCATGACTTGTAATTTCTTTTTATCAGAAGATTTGCTAAGGAACATAAACACAGAAAAAAACGTCTACAATGCCAAGAAACAGAGGGCAAAATATTGTGTCATTTAAGCAAAAATTAAGTTTGAAAGAAACATTTTTTTCGAAGTTTTAAAATGTGAATACATTGGAGAATTACAATATTCGTAGGAGTTTTTATGGTTTCATATAATGGTTGATATTGTGCTACAAAATACTTACGGTTTTGTAATTGTACCACACGTCGTTGGGTAAATAGGCTTTAACTACGGTTTGGCCCTAAACAAATATGAAGAAGGAATAAGACAACAAGTTCAATGAATAGTTTGCAAGAAAATTCGTTATTTTTTTTACATTCACGTCTAGTTGCGATTATTTTTCATTCACTAGGAAGTCAAGTAAATACGATAAACCGTACAACAATTTAAAATGGCATTTCTTAAATGTCCATATTTCAACAATGTATCTCAAATTTTGTACAAATATGTCATTTATAAGAGCTATTAAGTTATACTAGTTGACATCATAGTATACTTTCTTATAAGTCTTTTTTTTTTTGGAAACCAGTCATAGTGTTAATTAAGAAGCTTAACAAATTACTTATTATACATTTTACTGTTATAAATTTGATGTTTAGGACTAGGATCTAACCTCTTCCAGAACAGGTGATATGAGTACAGCAGGACCCCAAAGGAATTGTCGATCAATTCCAAAAGTATTTTTGTCAGTGGGAAATCTGAAATACACAATAATGAAGGAAATTTGTTAAGTAAGGCATATGGATAATTATAATATAAGCTACTTAAAAATACACTGAATCCTAAAATAGGATTAATATCTTTTATAATTGATCAAATTATTATAAACATTTCAATGTAATTTTAAAAGACTGTGTACTCATTTTTAACATAACGTGTATAGTTTGATTTTTAAGAAATATATTTCATAGAACAGTATGTTAATACTTTTTTATTGGAATGTGTTTAACTTGTTATAATTGTTGTCTATAGGTGTTGACACGCACACTGACAAGTTACTAAAGAAGGCTTAAAGACGTGAATTTGCATAAAATGTCTACTTTAACGGAAAAAAACTGTAAACTTAATCTTTACTTCTTAAAAAGAGGACAAAGTTACACAATACACCAAAGAAGAAACAGTTTAACAAATAACGTTTCGAATAATCGCCCTTCTTCAAACCTACACATCAACTGTTAGAATATTTGAACTTTTCAAGTGTTAGGCTGAGCAGCACGGTTAAAACGTTCCAATGTTCTAATACACGAAATTGAGATCTGACGAAAGGTGATTGGGTTACTCGAAACGTTACCAGTTAAATTGTTTCTTCTTTGGTGTATTGTGTAACTTCATCTTTCATCTCTTGTAATCCAGTTTGTCACCATTGCGATTTTATTTAGTGATTTTTTAATGGTTAAAGTATTCCAACGATTAGATTCAATACTGTTATTTCACTGAGCGTGTTTTAATTTATATAGAAACAGACTGCAGATATATATATATATATATATGTATAATTTAATTTTTGCACTTGCGTCTCGTATAAAGTATCGTTCTAAGTAGCGAGTCTGATTTTTTAAAATACCCACGAATAAACAGATAGGCCTAACTATCAAACTTATGTAGTTGCTTGTGTATATAGCTATCAAAGACAGAAGTTTAAATAATAGATAAATGAAAGAGCTTTATATAATACATATTTCAAATTTAAGACAAGCTCTATTGCATTACGCATTTGAAACATAAAGTATTGTGGAAATTTTAACGCCAATAATCTAATCAGAGAATACCAGTAATAATTTAAAAAGCATTATTACTTTAAGTTTTCCCTCAGTCTATATAATTTATCATACACTTTTTTTTCTTTTAAAGAAACACACGGAATTCAGTTTCACACCATTTACCATGCAGGTGGAGTGAATAAAGAAAGAAACGAGAAACCCTAAAGCACATCACGTAAAAGTACATTAATAACATCAAAGTGCGCACATCTACTTCCGGTTTTGAAAAGTATAGATCTACTAGAAAGAAAGAAACGAGAAGTCTTAAAACACATTACGTAAAAGGACAGTGATAAAATCAAGATGTGCACGTCTACTTCATGATTGAAGAGCATCGATCCTACCAGAAACAAAGAAACGAGGTATCTCGAACACACCATGTGAAAATACACAAAATGTTTTTTAACTCTTTGAATTCATTCTGTTAAGTCGTTTTCCAAAGAAGATTAAAATGTATTATTTTTCTTGTTCTTAACTCCATTTTCCTTGCATCAGATTTTTTAAGCGTTCTTTTGTTTCAATGTCTTTTTTGCATCTTCAATTTAAAAATTAATGTTTTTTTTTGTATTTTTATCTCTTAATTCAATATGAATTTTAGTACATGTACCTTTTTTCATCATTTTATCTACTTGTGAAATAAAACATGTACATTAGACTAAGGCTTATACGTTATGTTTTAATAAGTATTCATATTCTAATGAAATACTATGTAACTTACTCGTGAAAAACTGGCCTCACCACAGTGGAGCCTAATAACGAAGAAAAGTAGAACAGAGTATAAATGTACGGAAGAAGGCGATATCGTATCTCCAGTGCGCGCCGGGCAGGTATAGCTACTTCGTCCCCAAATGCACCAGGATCTTGTTCCTAAGGGTAAAGAGACACGTTTTGATCAACAAGGGAAAACTAAAACTAAAAACCATTCTTGGTGTAGATACAACCGCTTTCCAAATTTGCCAATTCATCATAGATGTGTCACTTGATAACTAAGAATGTACGTTAGTTACTGGGATCATGGAAGATCTCCATCAGTCAAAATTGGTTGAAAAGCTTTCTATAGTGAAACTGCACAAAAGAAAGTAACTTTCAAAACAGTTCTCATTAGCATAAACAGATGACATTCAAGTATAGGCTGTATTCAATTTATAACCATTCAAACGATATTGAAAAATGACAGCTTAATATTTGATGAAACATTAGTTAAGGATAATTTTAATATTTTTTTAATGGAAAGTTTTAAACATATTATCACAAAGAATGCATTTTGTGTACGAACATCATACCTAATAGGTTATTTGAAATATAGGTTTCTGATTATGTGGGAGTTAAACAATTATCAGTAAAATCTCACACGCAATTCCTTAAAAACAATTCGGAAAGAAGAGTCCTGTAACAGTTCCAAAACAACAACAAAACAAAACAAAGAACAACTAGTAAAATCAGATAACCAACAATTAAAATTGTTAGAGCAAATGTTAGTTTTCTTCTAGAAAACTTTTGTACTCTTTAATCACAGTAGATTTTAACACTGCTCGTTAATTGGGTAAGACCATATTTGCCAGAAAAAAATGACCCATTGCGGAAATAGGTTTTTTCCAATACACTTTTTGGTTGTTTTCCTCACGTCTCTAACTCAGCTTAGCAAAAACTGATAATCTAAAACATTCACAGCCACAAAGAAAGCATGCTAAGCATTTTGAACAATTAGACCTTTTTACATTTGCAAGATAAAGGTTCCATTTTGAACTAGAACTGGAGTTTTTTCGAAAGCCATTGAAGCAGTCTTTAGCATTTTGATCCATCGATTTGGAGCTACCACTGGTCCACGGAGGCTAAACATAAGCTAAGTCCTCGTCTATTGCTCAAAAAAAAGTAAATCCCTAAGTATTAAAAGATACAACAAACGGTAGAAGAAAACGGCCACCACCAAATTACAATAGAATATTGTGAATATGAATGATGAAGTTGTACATGATGAAGATTATGATACGGATTTTATTGATAATGACATTTTGGCTTTAACAGAAGATAGTGATGATGACAAAGAAAGTGAGTACACCATGAAATAACGCAAAAATATATGTGACATCAGAGATGATGTTGGAATATATGGTTCTTTGACGAGAAATCTACAAAGTAGAAAAACGTGAAAGTGAATCCGTTACTTCTATTGATAAAGCAATTCGAATAATTATCTTCAGCCTTCCAATACTAAAGAAAATATGCTCTATTATTTTACTCAATTATGTAGGCCAATTATTACTTAATATAGGAAAATAAACTGTAACGATAGCAGAGAAACCAAAGAAATTATAATCAGTAGCATGTTAAAGAAAAATATAATTGAAATAAAATTAAAACTTCCACTGGATTCTATCCAGGGTTTTATTAGCTCCATTGTGTGCTCCGCTACAAAATGACCATATTTTCCGTTTGTGTAAAACCGATATCAAAATCCAGTAGACTACATGATGTTTTAGCTTGATACAGTATCTTGTAGACGTATTCCGAATAAAGCTGTTTACAATTGCAGTAATAGTTATCTTATATCCATGATATATAGCTAATATTCGATGATACATCGATATATATGTAGTCATATCTTCATCTATATTTAATATATTGCTCTATGAAATCTTTATTATTAGCATTTTCATTTAGAATAGTTTCCGCAATCGCATTCCAAGATAGATTTTTGGTAATCCTACCCATAGTACAAAATTTAAAAGGTTAATTCATTGATTTAATTTCGGGATTCAATCCCCACTGCGAATGCAGCGAAAATAGACTAATGTGTAGCCTTGTGCTAAAAACAGACTAATTAAATCGCTGAGCAAATGTTCACTGTAGTTTGAAGTTAATAAGGTAAAGGCAATTTCACATTTTCCCTTTTGTTTCACATCTATTGTTGACCATTTTTCCATTTTCACACATTCTTTTTTCATCTTGAAAACCAACAATGAACAAGAATCATATAACCAATAAAATACGTTGCATTTTTGTTTTAATTGACTTACATCACAGTATTTTGATTGATTTAAAACATACTGCACTTACTATTAGCGCAAAGCTATAGAATCCATCTAATCTATTTTAAATGTCTGCGGGTGAGCGAATTGTAAGTTTACGGTCTTACAACGTTAAAAATCCAGGGTTCCATGCTCTGCTGTGAACAGAGCGCAGATAGACCAAGTATAGCTTTGTTATATGAAAGAACATTGTTGTTTTTCTATAATTCTTGTATTTTTGTAGGTTAAGAGTATGATTCACATATTTTACTCAAAAGCATAGTGGTAAGTTGCTAATGTGAAACATTTTTCCAAATTTGAAAATATCATTTTTTTTTCATATTCTAGACTCATCATTATGAAAAATAATATTTGCTCATTTTGAAGTATTTAAAAAATGGCGTTTTTTTTTACAATTTCTGTGTGCATTAATACCGACTAATAATTTGTCATATATATATATATATTTAGGTTTTAAATAAATTATTATGTGTTACAATTGTCCAACTACTTTGAAATCAATCATTAAACATAAAACTATTGTTATATGCCCTTTTAACTGTCATGTTCTAGTTCTGGTTGTAGTTTGATGCAAAACATATTTTCAATTGTTTTGGTTTATCATAAAGAACGTTTTTTTAAAGAATGACTGGGGGTAATAAAAGCAATGTCTTAAGTGTGTCCAGCATGTATATACGATACAAAGATATGATTAAAAAGAACGATAGGAGCTGTTGGAATCTGACCCGCATGCTCTTATAGAATTGGGTCTAATTAAATAACTTGGAATAAAGCTATATTCAAGGAAAGATAATACACCAGATCTTGTTCATAACTTCATTGGTTTTGTATTTTCAAATGATAAAATAATTAAGAAAACTGCTACCAGAACAAGTTCATTTAAGAATATCATGAAAAATGTATTTATTGTTGTAATCTCTCAGTATTACAGTAAAGAAAAAAGATATCGTAACAGAACTTACTGGATTGTTTAATCCGTTGTGATTTCTAGAAAACGGATAGAATGCCCCCAGCTGCTGCCATCGCTTACACATTTCTGGTGAGGGAACATCAAAGAATCCACAAATGTCTGCTCCCACCTATCACAGAATTAATCATAAGGTAAATCAACAACTTGCTGTTATAAAAACTTGCCACGAAATATCATATAATGTATCGACTTATTTCTGCGAAAAATAATACTTATATAAGTAAACATAGTGATTCTGGTAAAAAAAAGAAGAAACTTCAGAGTCCACGAAACAGGTCCTGTTATGTAAGTTACATAAATATTAATACAAAAGGTTTGATGGTAAAGAATAATAGGAACAATTAAACACATTCAGGCTTGTTTTTGTCATGTCATTATATGGTCGACACAGTTAAAGATCCGTTGCAATTGTAAGTTGCTCATAACTATAATTTTACTGAGTGTTCTAGGAATTATATTAGCTTTTAAAGTATGGTAATGCCTTTCTTAAGTCATCTGTCGTGTTATGTATTACAATTTTAAATAACCTAAAACTGAGTTAAATTGTAATTTAAATTTAGTAGCTAATTAAATGCCAATATATATCTCCAACTTATGATATTTGCCAACAAGATTTATACACACAGTTTTCATTTTTAATACAAATATATATTTTAATACACAGACAGTAATACAATTTATAATAACAGTTATTACAATTAGTTATTACAAACAATGATTTATATACAAAAGCTTTACAAACTTACAAGCAATATAAAGTCTTCTTTCTAATCTGGAACCTCCTTGATGTCTTATAGAGGGTTCACGATGAGCGAGTAAATTTCGAGTGATGTAGGTACAATTCACTTAATAGGGAGCTAGCTAGCTCTCTGAAATTCCCTGATCACACGCCGATTTTTCCTACCGCTGACGTTAGGTAATGTTTTCGTAAAAGTACTAATGTCCGATGTAAATCCACTGAATTTGAATGGTTTGTAATTTTCGTAAGTTATAAACGTTTCTGGTCAATATCTCTGAAGTTTCCGATTAATAAGCATTAATCACAGTTATAGCTTACGAAGTTTATAGTACACCAATTACAGCAACCCAATAATAGATACTGTTTTTTGGCGCGTCGCGTTGGATATAGTTATAGGCGTGTGGAGAGTTTCTCGAAATTTCAGTTTTACGTAACAATACTTGCTAACACTAGCGTTTATGTAAACACATATATTGTTGATTCTTACACTCGAGAATCTTTTACAACTTTAGAGAATAGGCGGGAGTTTCGCAATACGTATTTAACAGTATAAGTTATGTACATTCCTAAATATAAACTTAATTTAAACAAACATCGATATTAAAATAAATATATAATAATAAATCCGTCACAGTCGTGAAAGTAAAAAAAAGGGAAAATACACTGTCAATGTAGAAGCTTCTCCGAAATAAGTCATATGGGTAAAGACCTGTAAGTATGGTGACGATAACCATGGGTATTTGTAGCAATTTCGTGAACACATTCTATCTTTCATTCTATATTTTACTTAATTTTCGTCGAAAGGTTTTTGAAAGACTAAACTTATTTTCCACATTAAAAAAATGTAATATATTTTTTTACAATCAGTGGTTTAAAAGATATAAAATGTTCAAACTACACATGCTATGTTGGCAAATAGAAGAAAATACGACAATAAAAACAAAGTAAATGCTTAAATTTTTAGTTTCAGTAAAAATGGTAATAGTTAATTGACAGAAAAGCTCAGTTAATTTCTACTTAGTTTGAAGTTTTTTGACAGGATGGTTGTTTTGTTATTGAACTGAAAAAATAATTAATTTTATTTAGGTTATATTAGAGTCTGTCAACTTTAATTCATAAAGTATCAGAGATGAACAGTTTATAAAACTTACGTATGGTATTCCAAACAGATTGAATTCCAGCATTCCTAACAAATATCGAAAGTACAGTAAATAGTCGCACAATAACTTCATTCTTATGACAAAATCAATTAAACGAAAATTTAAATGAATAATTACACAGGCCTGCGATGGTTTTATTGTCTTGAAATGTTTACATTTTCTATAGTAATTCCTGTGCACTGAATCCAAAAATGATATCCATTTTTCTCCATCACGTACAGATTTTTCACAAAACGTCATATGTTCTTTTACATAAGTGTATCATTTTCATTGAAATCGAGTCACATTTCGTTATGCTTAAAATGTTGACAACCACTGGCTATAGATTTCTCTGGACCAATCGCAACGTGAGAGTCTTATCGATCGCTATAACCCACGTGAAACACACTACTAGTATATAAACGGTTAACAGAACACACGACGTGTCATTTCTGGATAGTATTTGTTTGTGCGTGCACTTTGACATTGTTTTTTTATTTTCAATATTATTTATTCGTCGCTATGACAACAAGAATTTGTGTAAATGACCCAAAGATATTCTGTTATATTTGTGGTAATTTTTTTGTAAATTTGATCTAAATAAGAGTTATTTTCTTCCCGATCTGTAAAAAATCCTTACGTGAAAGAAAAAAAAAATATTATTTTCGAAATCTGAGTAGCTGAATTATGGAAAATCCGTTATTAAAACTAAAATAACTTTTATAAAGTTTAAATTCGCAGGGCTGTTTATTAGCGAAGCTTGTAGTAAAAACACAAAACAACAACTAGAAAACCTTTATGTCGAATTTTGTTTTTAACAGTTGATTATAAATTATGATTTCTAACTTAATTATAGTGTTAGTATTTACTTATTTTTCATAAAACTACCTGGTGGCTAATGTAGCTAAAAACCGGGTTTCAGTGGCCGCAGTGGACACAGCACAGATAGCCTGTTATGTAGCTTTGTGCTTAATAACAAACAAATTCCTTATAATAATTCGTTATGAAAGTTATTTTGAATGCAGTGTTTCCACACAATCAAAACTGGATAGTAATAGTTTCATTTAAGTCTTTGTTTTTGCTTTTGTTTGTTTGTTTGTTTGAAGTTAAGCACAAAGCTACATAATGGGCTACCTGTGCTCTGCCCACCACGGGTATCGAAACCCGGTTTCTAGCGTTGCAAGTCTGCAGACGTTACCGCTGTTCCACTGGGGGGCCTTTGTTTTTGAACTGATTATTTAAAACTTTCTTTAATTGGTAAGATAGTTCGGTTTATGTACAGCATATTATTTATTTATTTGATTTAACTCAAAACTACATAATGGGCAACCTCAGGAAATCGAACCCTAAATTATAGTGTTGTAAGTCAGAAATTTACAGCTGAACCATTAGGAGACATCAACAAAATACACATGCATATATTAAAAACTACAGTGAGAATAATTGAAAGAACTACATTGTTCGTGGGCTTATAAAAAATCAAATATTTAATCAAATAGTTTTTCTACTCTTTTAGTACTAATGAACCACCTGTCCTCTTCCCGCCATGGAGATAAGTCCTCGAACTTTAGTGTTATAAGCGACCAACCTTAAATTTCAACTATATGTGACAAATGATGATTCATCATAAGTGACTAGAAGTTCAGTATGAGTGGATGTAAACAACACTAATTCATTTCATGCCAGGTACTACCTTTAATACGACAATCATAGGCATAAATATTATGTTAAAATTGAATGAGCTCATCTATATTAATAAAAGAGTAACGTGTGTACGTGAGTGAGAAGCTTTTAAATTCTTATTAAACTATGCAAAAATTAAATTAGGAGTAGGGAAATATGGACGACGTAACGATATGCACAAGGGAGGGATAGGTGTAGGTATTAATATGCATTGCAAAGGAAAAGGTAATTTGGGGAAAATCTGTCATTTTTTAGAGCCACAGCTCCGACAGCAGTATTTATGTGTTAAGGCTAAATCTGGTGTCTCTTAGTAGATAAATCTATGTTTTTTTCTGTTTTTTTTTCATGTTTGATCACTCCATTTGGCTCAAAGTGTTTTTTGTACTATAGGTGTTTGGCGGGTATCTCGTGTTGTGGAATAGGTTTAATTTACCTTAGGCTTAACTTCGCAGTCACTAAGAAGCACCGTTCGGCCATCAGATTCGTTCAGAACTCAACTTACCTAACCTCGTAAGTGAGTAGTCTGGGCAAGTCACTTATTTTTTTGTTACTTTAAATATACAGCACTACCTTTACATTTCATAAACTTTGTGCATTGAAATGCAAAATACAACAACCAACAAAAGTTTTCGTACGCGATACGCGAGTTTTCCCATTAGTTATAGAAGAAAGTAATATACAGATTTTACAAAACGGGCTGAAATATAATATTAAAATGAAAAATATTTAGTCTGTATTTATATTTTATAATTCAAGTCTGTTTGTTTCTTTATAGTTAAGCATAAAGCTCCACTGAGCTATCTGTACTGTGCCAAACACGGGTATCGAAACCCGGATTCTAGCACTTACCACTGTGCCAATGGGGGAGAGGGGTGCATTAGAGTGTTTATTAGAGAGCGAAGTCACATTTGGCTTTCTGCGTGTCTATCGCAGGGAATCAACCCCGGATTTTAGAGTGGTAAGATAGTAGATTTACCGCCCAATGGAGAACATAATTCAACTCATAATTGGCAATGTAAGCTGATAACTTTATAAAAAAATCTCACTCATATATGTAAATATCACCACAGAATCAAAGAATTAAATAAGCTGTAAGACTTCCAATAAATTAGAATAAACTTGCGTTTTAAATGCGTGAAATCTATCATATATTTATTTTGCAACTAGTCTGTTGATGTTATGCAAAAAAAAAAAAGAAAGAAGAAGAGAAAACTACTATGGTACTTTTGCGTTTTCGCGCAAACCTGTACAAGAGTTATCTAGGTTAGTCGTCCCTAATTTTAAATTGATAGACTAAAGGGAAGGCAAGAACATCCGTCGCTAACTCTTCGGCTACTATAAACGAAAAGTGTGATTTAACCGTCACTTATAATACACTCACAGCCTCAAAGTGCAGAGCGCGATGTTGGATTTTATGAAATGAAACTTTATATATATATTAGCCAGTGACAGGTGATATCTAACACTGCATAAAACCTTTTGTATAAAGTAATACAGGTTTCAGTAATTTACCCAAGACAGCAGTTTTAACTTATTTCAAGTAGCTACGAACGTTGTAAGGGATTTCCTTTCGGTAATTTATGTTTTATAAATGTTAATCGGATTAACTATAATCTGTGTGAGATAATAAGATTGATTAGAAAATAGGTGGTGAAGTTGGTGGGGTTAAGCCAGATTGTAATCCATGTTAGAAAATAGTGACGAAATGTCCTAAATTAATATAATACATCCAATCATGTAAGTCTATGCAAAGCTTTGATATCTAGGGTTTTAAAAACAATAGACATAGTTATTTATGTCTGCATGAACTTAACCACTTTAGCTCCACAGCAGGAAAGGCTGTTGAACATAAAGACAATGTTTTACACCACACACCCTTCCATCATGAATGAAGGGACTTAATGGCCTACACCCTTTTGTGGAAAACAATGTATCGCGAAACAAAGTAACTAATAATATTAAGGAAGCACACGGATTAATAAAAAAAATAGGTATTTCGCAAAATAAGAAAGATGGTCCTCCATTCTTTACTGGTGAACTGGGAAGAACATCAAAACATATATATTCGAATACCTTTACATCTCGTAAATCAGTGATAAGTATAATAGAAAATAGACTTTCTTAATCAAAATTTATATCAAATATTGATGCAAAGCAAAATATTAACATAAAGATTACAAAATGTTTCCTGATCTTCTCTCTCTTTTTCTGCTTAAATATATTTTGGATTTTTGACGCCTTTAACATCACCTTATAAGCCTTGGTACTGAAATGTGGAATTTTCCTGTTCCTGAAAATATTGTTTTGGCTGTTTTAGCGAAAAGCAACATAGAGGGCTTATCTGCAGTCTTTTTGCTGCGGGGAATCAGACCCCGGATTTTAGCATTATAAGTCAGTAAACCTACCGTAGACCCACCAGGGGAATTGAAAATGCTATATAAAGAATGTTCTACTTGGAATTACGTTTTAAGGGTACTTTTATTATACATGTATGTTTATGTATTTTGTGAATACGATTTTCGCCTGATTTTGAGTAGAATTCTTGTGATTTTGATCGGCCACTAACTACAAATAGGGATGTTTTTTATCATCTATCTCAAGCTTAAAATAGTGCAATTATCACAGATAAACTAATAACGTACTTTCGGAGCGTGACCATATAGTTGTGAATCTCAGGGTCTACACTTTTCGGCTGTGAGCGAGTTCTAAGGGTATCGGTTGTATCCCACTTTTTGATTAGAGTGCTCCATGAGTTGGCAGTGGATACTGTTTACTCGCTTCTTTCTCTCTTGTCTGTCAGTTTAAAATTGGCGGCGGCTGGGGGAGATAGCGCTTGTGTAGCTTTGCACGAATATCCGCAACAACAGCAACAAAACAAGATTACTTCTGCGTTTTCTAAAAATTTGGCAACTTGTGTTAGAAGTAACTGCTATGACTCAACTATAATGCATTTATTCATGAAGCGTCAAAACACCTCTGTTGTTATAATCAGCAAAAGATAAATATAGTATTACAACCAAAAGTGTTTGTGACTTTATTAGCTAAAGGGCATAATACAAAAATACCACCAGTGCCCGTGTCATGCAAAATTAAAAACTTTAACATGTGATCGTGCGAGTCAGGGTATCAGTAATATTATTTCACAAGAAGTTTTATTTATTTAACATTATAAATCCTTATCTAGTGTTACGAAGTTAGGTGTAAGGAACATTGGATGGAGGTTGAGAAAGTGGAGAAAGCGACTGACCTTTGATCAGTTCCTAAGGAATTACAGCACTATGAATCATTTAGAAAAGGTTAAAGGGAGCAACGACCTTTCTTCATCAGCGGAAGAACTCCCTATGATTCAGATTAAAACAGCTGGACAAGTTTAGGAAGAAAGAGACTTGTTTGTAGTGGGTTTGCTTAAGATATATAAAAGAAAAGACCGGGAAATGTGTGAGAGAGAAACCGAATAAACAGCGAAAAAAGCGAAAGAATAAAGAAATTCTACCAGTAAGAAAGCATAGTTCTAAATCTATGTGTTGTTGATTATAACGGTAAAAAGCAATCTGTTATATGTATTTATATGAATCAATTACAACCTTAATCAAGTTAAAGGGAAAGCAAAGTAAAAATATAGCGTTATCGTAACAAAGTGGTGTCAAGACAATCAATAGTATCTGATAAGTTGGATCTCTTAGTAAGAGGAAAGTAGAAACAGTAAGTTTCCAAGTTTTCATACATTATTCATACAGTAAGTTTTCATACATTTTTCATACAGTAAGTTTTCTTACATTTAAGTTAACGTTGGCCCGGGATGGCCAGGTGGTTATGGCGCTCGACTCACAATCTGAGGGTTGCGGGTTTGAATCCCCGTCCTACCAAACATGCTCACCCTTTCAGCCGTGGGAGCGTTATAATGTGACGGTCAATCCCACTATTCGTTGGTAAAAGAGTAGCCCAAGAGTTGACGGTGGGTAGTGATGACTAGTTGCCTTCCCTCTAGTCTTACACTGCTAAATTAGAGACGGCTAGCGCAGATAGCCCTCGTGCAGCTTTGAGCGAAATTTAAAACAAACAAATAAGTTAACAAACAAACAAACAAATAAATTAACGTCTTACGCATTACGTAACAAACAATGATTTAAACTATTTGCTAAACCTTACCTATTATAGAGCGATGAAGATCAACCCAGCGACTGAAGTTGTCTCCCAGCCAATGACCAGCCCATTGTCCGAAAGATGGGTAAGTGTTGCGGGTAATTACAATACTTCGTTGTCCTGTTGCTCTGTGGGCGGCCCTTGTTGAGAAATAACATTACGATATAAATTTTTGTGTGTGAAGGCTCTTATTTGAAACATCTATATCAAATAATGTTTATTGTTCAAAATATATTTGGTAAATAAGAATAGGCTTCAAAATACGTAATCGTTAAAACAATGTATATGAACAGATAAATTATTTAAATAACTATTTTACTACGGGAACCCAGTTTTCTATTTCAGCCTGAATGGGAAAGTTGTTAACACATTGAAATAAAAACTAAGGAAGCTTTGATTGTTTGTTTTGAATTTCGCGCAAAGCTACACGAGGGCTATCTGCGCTAGCCATCCCTAATTTATCAGTGTAAGACTAGAGGGAAGGCAGCTAGTCATCACCACCCACCGCCAACTTTGGGCTACTTTTTTACCAACGAATAGTGGGATTGACAGTCACACTATAACACCCCCACGGCTGAAAGGGGACGGGGATTCGAACCTGCAACCCGCAGATTGCGAGTCGAGCTCCCTAACCACCTGGCCATGCCGGGCCATTAAGGAAACAATAATACGTTTTATTAATATTTGCAAGAAATGTGACAATCTATTACATCAGTCGTTTACCAACGCCATAGGTAGGTCCACATCCTATTTACGTATGGTGAAACATGATACCTTCTCCTTCTCAAGGTGTGCTGTCTTAATAGTTTTGATAGTATAGTGTGTGTATTCAATAATTTGTCTAAATGCCACTTACAATATATATATATATATATATCAAATCAAATACTTTTTACAATTTCAAAGCGTTTTGAAACATATTTGTGATATTAAGAAATGGTAGAGTATTAGTGATATCCTATAAATTAATGTTTCATATTTCTGTTACGTTTAGCTGACATAAATCAAAAATGAGCTTATTACGAGTTATTTATACGTATAGAATGTAACAACTTACTATTTTGCCTGTAGAATTTTGCCAGAAGATACGCCATAGAACAAAATTATAGTTAAATATAAAGATAGTTTATTTAATTGTATGGCAACACAATACCAAAAGTGCCAACATCAGACTCAGAAAAATAAGGAAGACCTTTTCTTTTCGAAATTGATCATTTCGCTTAATAACAAGCAACCATGCTATACATACGAGAATATAATATACTAAACTATCTTTGTTCCATGATTAAACATATTCAACACACGAGCTCAGTTCTCAAAACTTTGGTTTACAATTGTATTAATGACATATTTTAATTTTAAAAATATCTTGTGACTATTTTTTTTTACTTCATTTGTATGTCGTTTCTGATATCTTTCTTTATTTGGTTCTAGTCTGTTTCCAGTAGGAAAGAAAATTAATTTTTGTGCTATTCAAAAGCCATTCACTGGGTAGCGGATGAACTGAAGCCATCTTTTATAATTAATTTTCTTGTATTAGAACTTATAATTAGTTTAAATTTAAATTTTACTTACTCCAATGTTGCTATCACCTGACCCCAAGCATATATGCTGTGAACGTCATAATGCCGATACATATCATTGTTACCTTGTGTCCCTGCCAGGCACACAGTCTTGTCAGACAATCGAACATCTTTACCGTAAGCGTAGGCAGCATCTGGTGTAAAAGAAAATTATGTACAAATTAATAAGGAGCACGTTTACCTTGTTTCTATTAGTTTAAAAGTAAAAGAGCATGATAATTTTTGTGACATTTTCCATTTTAGAATCATATTGATTTAGCTCAGTTGAAAAGATACTACTACTGTATATTTAAATACCAAATTAATGTCAAGTACAACAACTTAGAGAGCAGTTTGCCAATTTTGGAAGAACTAATCAAAAATGGATTCAAGAGGCGTATATACAAGTTACTTTTTATGTAAATAGGTAAACCTATTTTGTATTTCACTTTATATTTTCATTTTGCCGTGATATTTATACTTTCCTGCTTCTGTAGGGATACGTTCAAAAAATAATACCTTAAATCATGCTCATAATAACAGACCTTTCTTCTGACCCCCCCCCTCCTTCTCCAGTATCTCAGCAGTAAGTATGAGGGATTATGACGTTAAAATTCAGGTTTTGTTACCCGTAGTAGGCACAGCACAAATGGCCCATTGTGTAACATTGTTTAATTAAAGGAAATGTGATTATTTCAGTTCAGTCATTTTACTTTTTATTTTGGTACAAATGCTTTCATATAACCATAAATGTATCTAAATCCTGAAATAAACGGATATCTTATAAACATGTACCAAAGTTCAATGATATGAATATTGTACATAATATTAGACATTCTCATATCTTATATATTCGGTATATCTACATGAATAGTAAGAAGTTAATAACCGAAGTAAATTATTAATTTTCATGTATATTTTTTCGTAACGTATATTATTTAGATACAAACTCGTGGCCAAGGGATCATAATTTTAAGTTTTATAAGGTCGAGCCCTAAAAACGACGTACCTTTATCTAAAATATTCATTAAATCGAGAGGTAGGAAGAACAGCTAATTTAAACACACACATACACACAAAATAAAAAACATTTTGATATTTTGGACAGAGCGCAAAGATACACAATTACTACTTGCGCTCTGTCCAATACGGAAGAGAAAAATATTTATTGTTCTGTAAATAAATTAATAAAAATTCATTCTTAGATAGTCATGTTTCTACGCGATAGATGGCAGTGGAGCAGTACCTAATGACGAGGAACGTTGTTAGAAGAGAGAGGTTCATTACGACTTGATTTTTTAGTAAACAGTTCAATTTGCATTGTAGAGATAGTACCTTCTTTTGGCGACACTTGTACATTATTGTCTGTGATTTTTTTTCCCTCGCCAAAACGTGAATTTCAGTGAAGAAACGATTACGTAGATGACTAATGTATTCTTCGATTGGCTACTTTCGCTACAGCAGACTAGTTTCTCTGTATTCATAGCTCGTCACTCAGTGCCGTTTGGAAGAGCGAAGCAAGTAAATAAAATAGGCTTCGTATAGGGGTGAAATGTAAGCAGTTTGTTTGGTTTTGAGGTGCACTCATTTACTAATTACTAATAGCCTAAAATACTTTAGTTGTTTGGATAACATGTGAAATACCGTCACAATTAATTATTCATTATTAATGTATGACAGTATATTACATGTTATCCAAATACCTAAAGTATATAAGTTTATTAGCAGTGAGTAAACGACTATAGATTGAAATCAAATATTTGTACATTTAAGATCGAATCTACGCTCAGTAGCAAAAATATTAGAATGATTGTACTATCGAAACTAATATAGGTGTCGATTTTTGTGTGTGTGTATTGAACATCAAGATTTTACTCCTTTTTTATCAAAGTTTTTGTGTGGGTATAAAAAACATCACTTGTTTAAAAATAGTTTCAGTTTTTATTTTAATATCTTCGAGAAACTAAAGGAGGACATCTGTTGTCAAAGATGTATATTGAATAATGGACATTCAATAAAAAAACTACAAAAGACTCAAATAAATCAACAACCAGAATATAGGAAAAAAACAACAATTAAAATTTACCGAAAATGTTTAAAAGGTTTCGATAAACGAGTATCTTATATTTTTTGTTTCTAATTAAGCACAAACTGCACAATGGGCTATCCGTGCTCAGCCCACCATGGGTATCGAAATCCGGTTTCTGGCGTTGTAATTTCGCAAATATACCGCTGTGCCACTAGGGGGCGAATATTTTAGAAGGTCTGAGTTAATGTATATAAATATTTTCAAAATAATTTATTAAAATTCACAGTTGAAAAAGAAAGCAAAATGCATCAAATCTTACAAGTCTTGTACGGCGGATCATCATATTTATTTATGGGACAGTGAAGGCTCCAACAAACTCCAGGGTTCTCTTTGTCATGGCAATACCACGGAATGTCATGGTTGGTTCCGAAGTTAGCAGGTTCATTCATATCCTAAGAAAGAGTTAGCAAAATACACTGACGATGCAAAAGAAAACACGTTGGACAAAAAATACATAAAACACAATTCAATAACAAATCACACACACACACAAAAAAAAACGCTAACCACTTTTTGAAAGACAAATCTTTCCAATTCACTTTTGAATAAGGAAAATCTAGTTCCATATAGTGCTCGAGTTTTGGTTTAGGACGCATTGCTTTAAATGTACTTGAGATACTAAGACTCAGTAAAACATTTATGTTTTATCATTCTTTTTGATATATTTCAGATGTCAGATTATGAATATTTTATATACAGACAGATAGATGAATATACATAGAGAGAGGTAGAGAGCGATTATAAAATCTTTACACGCCCCTTCTGGAGATTACTGAATAAGAATTGAAAAATGTGTAAAATGTTTCTCGATGGAAGGTTTTAAACAATCATTTATAAGCGACAATTTCTAAATCTGTTATGTAAGAAACTTAGATATTAATTTTCTCCACTCTTAATCATTTGAACCATTTTCACCATTACCAGGTAACACCATATATTAATATAAAACTTAAATCAAAAACTTCTACTATCCCTGGAACAAATAGGTTATAAGAAACGCAACTCACTATCCAAATTCCATCGAACTTCAATCCATTGTTGTAGTATTTTACAATTTGTTCTACCCACCACTCTTGAGTTTCTTTCTTGAAAAAATCGGGAAACGCTACTGGACCAGGAGGCCAAACCTACAAAAATGTGAAGGCAAAACACACAATTCATTTGTTATTTCTAAATGTTTTAATGTTTGAAATCAGCAGTTTTTCAAGCTTAAGTACCCCACAACATACTATTAAAACAAAAAGTACTTTAGGCTTGTTGATATATACTTGGTTTTTCATCGTTAATGAGCACGGATGCTTTCAAAATAAAGTTTGTAGCTTATAGATTTGTTCATGTATTGATGTATAAATGTATATAACTATACGCATGTGTATAAGCAATATCAAACATTTGTTGAAGCATCAGTTACACGTAAGAGAAATCGCAAACATACACACAAAAAACAAAAACCGAAAAAAACGAATCATAATAAAAGTAAAAAGAACAGTTACTTTTCCAAACATTATGCCAGTACTTGTATCTACATTTGGTGGATAATCTCGGTCTTCTTCGGGAATGTCTTCTGGCCAGGTTATGTATACTTTTCGAGAAAGACCCTCAAAATAAGGTTCGTACGAAGAATCGTTAGCTACTAGAGCTGGATCCTGTTAGATAGTGAAAGATTGTTGAAGAATCATATCAACAATTATTAATATACTTTACGTCTATCTCACAATCAATTATTTATTTTCATTTGAGTTTTATAGAATAATTATAAATGTGCATAGTAGAATTATAATTACGTAATTGTTCAATGTTTTCACAATTTACGTGTTAAAACTCTTTAATATTTCGTGTCAATCTCTTAGTGTTATTAAACCTAATGAGTTTGAAACTAACCGTTATGATCATCTTGTAATGGTAGGTATTAATAACTTATTGTAAAGTGAAAATTTCATGTAATTTCTCTTATCCTCTCACTAATAAAGGATACATTGCCAAACATGATATTCTGTGTTTAGCCTCAATCAACGAACGTAAAAACCAGTAAAACGTTTCTCATCACCGATAATTTATTATTTAATTACGGCTAATTTTCTGTCCACACAACGTATAGCGTCTAGGTTCAAAAACTATTGGTTTATGTGTTGATGTTAGTTTTTAATTTGCAAACCATCGTCAAGATTCGTTGATTTATAATTTAAATCCAAAAGAAAACAAAACAGATAATTTGAATTGATTGGTAGTGAAACATATAGCACGTTTTTACAAATTACAGTTACTCGAATTTAGAATTGATCTGTATCAAAAATAGGCATAATGTATGATATCTTAAAACCTAGTCAGAAATGTAAGGTTAAAAATTCCAATTGAAAAATATTAAAGGTAAGAGCAACTCACAAGAATAATAATAAAATGCATTCCTTTTTCTTTTTCCCTTTCCATATATTTATCTAGGTCAGGAAAGTTATCCTCATCCCACGTGAAGTCTTTTTCGTTGTTCATGTGATCGATATCTGCATGTTGTACATCCTTCAAAATAATAGATGTTAGATTAATTATTAAATAGTTGTAAATAGCATTTATAGTACTTCCCATTGTGCGTCTATATAATGTGAAGAACTAAATAGTGACCAATGATAATTTTTCTTTACTTCATCCATCCAGTGTATAGGTTTTTCTCATAGTGACTATAAAGCATGTTCACATCAACTGTATGTTTGAGCATGTTTTAGTTAGTTTAACAATTTTCTTTTAACACAAAATACAACAATATGTACGAAATAGATATAACAATTGCATGAAATAAATGCGTTCTACGAACTCTAAAAAGACAGAGAATTCAACGCTAATTCTTTACAACAGATCAGCAATAATATCGTAGCCATTTATTTATATTAGATCAAATACCGTAGCTTTAATAAGTTACGCAATATACAACAAAATAATAAACTAGCTTCAAATAATGTGCTTCATAAACTATTTGAATAACTTTGGAAAATTCAGCTTTATAGATTTTAGTGTAAAATCAGTAACAACCTACCAGAGGAATGTTATTATTTTTGGTCCTTTCAACTGCTGCCATCATTGAGCCAATATTGTTGTAACCATACCTTGAGATCTGAAATCCTAAGGCCCAATAAGGTGGCATCACGGGACGCCCAATTAACTGCAAATAAAAAATGCAACGAATCGGTTGTTAGAATGAGAAAAAAAAGGCAAAAAATACTCCCAAAACAAAAGTAATTTAACACCTATAAAAGTGATTCAGTGATTTAGATATATATTATACAAACTTTATAGATTATTTATAACACGTTAATTATTTGGACGTCCAATAAAACAAATTCTGAGGTTCTCCAATAATAGTAAACTTATCTCTGCTGTTTTCCTTCTAGGACATTCATGACAAATAAAAATATAAAAAAATCATTTCAAATTCGCAGTAGCCATGGTTTTACTTACTTATTTTATTATATTCTGGTTCTGTGTGATGCACATGTGAGGTGATATTTATTATATGTATACTCGAATATACAAATTTAGCGAAAAAAATCAAGCAACTCTAAAACTAAAAATAAAATTGGTTTAATATGATTCAATGAAATTAGTTTTTGAATAATCTCTTTGCTAAGAAGCGTATACTAATAGATTTTTAAATCATTTAAATGATCAACATCGTATTTCCCATACACACGCACTCTCGCTCTCACGCACATACACATTGCTTTAATCTTACGCCAGGCTATTCTGTTTATTCTTCCTTTGGGAACATTGTTTGTTTTTTGTTTGTTTTTGAATTTTGCGCAAAGCTACACGACGGATATCTGCGCTAGCCGTCCCTAATTTAGCAGTGTAAGACTAGAGGGAAGGCAGCTAGTCATCACGACCCACCGCCAATTCTTGGACTACTCTTTTACCAACGAATAGTGGGATTGACCGTCACATTATAACGTACCCACGGCTGAACGGGCGAGCATGTTTGGTGTGACGGGGACCTTTGGGAACATTAGAGCTGCATATAGAGTAATTCAAAATTTTTTTAAGGCTTTCCATTGAAACCGTAGGTCATACTGTTATGTGTGACTGGAAGGTGAATTTTTTTGTTCAGTTCTGACGGCAATCTTAACCTTTGAGTTGCATTGCAATATGTGTATATTATTAAACAAGCACATAAGAAATAAAGAACAGTTTCATTGGCATTTAAAATATAAGCACAAAGATGTATTTTCGAATTCTAAATTAACATATAACTGGCATTTATTTGAGTCACTAGAATTCTATATTTGTTTAAGCTCAAACTGCAAAAATAGGCTATCTGTATTGTGTCCATCGCAAAAATAGAACCCCAGTTACTAACGAAAAGTGTATATGGTCATAAAATATCTGAATTTCTCAGTTTTGGAACGAAAAGAAATATACATTCAATGACATTTTGTGTTACTAATATAGAAATAAAAATATATATTTTAACTTTTCACAACTCCTCATAACAACTTGCCAAAATTTCCATTACATAATGAACAAAGTAGGCAAAAGATAAGTATAAGTTTTACGTTACTTTAGTTAAATATTTGGCTTTGCTCATGCATAATTGTTTTTTTTAAGTTACCTAATGTACAATGTAAAACAAAAAACTATATTTTGAGTTGCTTGAATTTATAAGTTTTATAAACTAGTTTATAAGAAATATTACTTTTCAATTTTACTGTTGTTAGTTTATTTAGCGCAAAGCTACACCTTGGGCTATCTGCACTTTGCCCACTGTGAAATCGTACTTTGGACACTAGTGTTGTAAGTCCGAAAAGTTATCGCTGCCATTCTTGTAATTTCACCATAGACAAACAGACAGACAGACACACATATATGTAGGTGGGACTCGATGAACCTTAGATTTTAAATCTCCGATTTAATATTTGTACTTTAAAATATTCGCAGGTACAAAACTTAGAGGTAAAATGAATCATTTTTTAACATGTATTCTATTTTAGACTTGAATTAGTTAAATTTTAAATTTATGAACTGATAGAAAATCTATTACATTATCCTCCACCGTGAACGTTTCCATAAGAGTTAAAATTCAATAGAAAAGTAAAAGTTATGTTGATGTTGTACACTTTCTTTCCACAGCATAATTTTTTATTTAATTTTTAGATACTTATTTAAGATGACGCGCATAATACTAACAGAGGAAAAATGTTTTCTAGATACTTTTAAATGAAAAAGCTTCTTATACGATTAGATTACCTAAGGAAAATGAAAAATGCAAGAAAGATGAAATTAATGTTCATTCATATGAAAAACAAAGAAAAAGATTAAAATTATATAAATAAATATGATGACAGCCAGATCATGGTAAAAATATCAAATATGGTCATTACGGAAAGTGTACAAGCAATATGATAAGAAGAAACGTGGAAATAACTCCATGTATAAATATGTTAATATAAATCTGTTGATCTAAAATCCGTAAAAACATAGTACATTTTTATTTCCAATCAGTACTCACTAATAAAAAAATGGCAAAAACCAAAACAACAAAGTGAAATATCCAAATTAGAGAACAAATTGAACTGTAATATTTTGATTTGTTTGTGACTTCTCCAAGTATGCTTTTTTATACACTTGTATATACTCATACACACAAGGATTATACATTAATTTCTAAGAAAACATGTTCAAAAGTATTCACTGATAAACTAGCCAAAGTTAATGGATGGCTACTTATGGATATTGTGTTAGTTTAGATGTCACATTACATTGTTTATAGTCAAACAATAGTATCCAATTTCAGATTTGCCTATAAAACGTAATTTAGCTCCAAACTGTGTTGCCAATTAATAAAACATGCTGGAGCAAATTCATACTAAAGATGAGATTGCGCACAGTAATTTTCTCTGCATAGCAACGCGAAATGCAGTTTTTGAGAATTTATGTTTTGCGATTTACTCACGCTAGTGTAATGAAAAATGACGTCCTCGGGAGTTTCACCCACAAAGACAAAGAAATCTAAAATACCACCAATTGCCCTGTATGAAAGAGCTGGTGCGGGAAGAAGGGTGTAGTCTGTCAAAAAAGAAATAGATTATTAGTAAAATGAAAATCAACTGTATTATTATGAACTTGCATTATGATTTTATCAGAAGAAACATCAGAGAAATGTTGTACAATAATATAAAAAAAAATGTTTGAAACTGTCGGAAAAGTAGGAAATTGATTAATTATAACTTTGTTAAGCAAATGAAGTAAGATGTGAGATGTATATGGAAATAATCAATGTCGCATGACAGGAAATATACAGAAAATCTCTCAGTTTAAAACAAAATTTAAATTAAGTATTGATGATGGTCTTAACAATAATTATTTGATCTGATTCAAGCTGTTATTGTAATCACTTCAATTAACTGGATTACACGATTTAATCATAAGTATTTCTGAAAATTATTGTAATCACTTCACTTAATTGGATTACAGGCTTTAAACATAGGTATTTGTTAAAATACTTTTCTTTCTAAAGAGAAGAAAAGACGTCTGTAAAATAATTGTCGCTAGATGAGCTTATGTAAATGACATTTTTACAGAATAAGATAAGTTAGGCTTAAATATCGGTTGTGAAAAAGATTCCAAGTACAAACGTTCTGTTGTTCTTTCACTGGTAATGATTTATTGAATACAATTAAACGAATCTCATGCAATGAACTTCATAAATTTGGCAAAACATAATGTAAGAAGAGTATCTATACTTTGTTGTTATTGATATTTTCAATATAACAATAACAAAAAAATCGAACTAACGACACATAAATTCTCACCCATAGCATTGCTATTTAGAAGTAGAACACCGTGAGACTTCCCATTGTTTTCTAAGCACGTGTAAAAAGGATGAACGCCGTACAGGTTTATATTACCCTATGATAAAGAGTAAACCTGCTATTTCAGTTAGGAATAAAATATTACAAAAGCAATTAAAAAGTGTAAACCATTTCTTAAGGGTAAAATAAAATGTATTTAAAGAGAACATCAACCTTGAAAGCAAGTAATCAGATTATTTCGTGAACAGAGAAAACCAAAACGAAACAAAAAATGTTTATTTCTTAAATTGCTGTTCATCACTAAAATAATTCTTCTGTGATAAAATATATCTAAAAATGAAAACCCATTGCTTGTTTAAATATACTGTTTACATTTCTTATAAACAAAAACCAGTGGTTTATTGCAACGGGTTCTTATAAAAATAACAATTTTTGCATTTTCCTGACAAATTATTGACTGTTTAAGCTTTATATCGTTTTAGATAAAATAAAACCCCAGAACAGGTGTGTAAGTTATTTATTCTGTATTGCCTTTTGGTTTTATTTTATAATCTGACGCTCACAGCTTCAAATGGTTTAAGTCTTTGTTAATAAGCTCAAAGCTACACAGTGGGCTTTCTGCGCTGTGCTAAACGAGAATATAGAAACCCGATTTTTAGTGTTGTAATGCCTTAGATTTGCTGCCGAGCCACCGGGGGCGCCTTAAGTGGGAATACACACAAACAAAAAATCAAACGCAAGCTGAAGTTGTAGTTTATGGAATATACAAAGAAAATGAAACGTTGAATTTGTTTGTTTGTTTTAGAGCAAAGCTACAATGGGCTATCTGTTTGACCAACGCGGGAACTTGAGCTCCGGATTTTAGCGTAGTAAATCTGTAGACTTAACGAAAATTTTGAGACACGAGCTAAAATTATCACCCGAGCTTGGTAGAAATATATACAGAATAATTACAAATAGCTACAGCTGTTTTAAAATCAACTTTAGCACTATATAAACAAATGATAAGCAAAAATTTCTGTTCAGTATGGCATGTTCTGAAAGTAAGAGTTCTAACCTTTTGTGTTGGTTAATACTTTTTGCACCTAATTTAGTAGTTGACAATTTTACAGCCGAGCATTTTTACGTTTTTTATTAAATAATAAATCACACATACAGGATGAATTAGAATTAGCTATCCGTTAAATCTTGTTTGATATTTTGAATTTATATATGTTTACTACTCGTCACAGAACACTTATACTACTGATAAATAGTTACCATAGAGATCCCAAAGAGAGTGCCAATTATTTCTAGTGCGGTTATTCTGCAAAGAAAACTAATTAAGTGTGTAACTATTGTGTGTTATTTTACATCTGTTTATAGTATTAAAACTTTGAAAAATTAACATACGTTAGATGGAGGTTCGTCTCTTGAAAATAGAGCCCATGTTTTATATTGCATGTTGTGTCTAAAACTCTCATGCACATTCTCGCCAAATCCGTAAATATTCTCCGTAGGCAGATAGGTAGCAATTTGAAGAAACTGGTCAGCAAATGTAAGTCCTCCTATGCTTGTATCCCAACTACAGAAGAAGACAGAACCAAGAATTAATTTACTATTTTCGGAATTTAGTAAGCCAACTTCGATCAATAGCGATAGATATAAGCGCGCACATTGTTCAAGTTTTTCTAATCCATTTTGAAATATAGATTAAATTATTTTTCGCATTAATAGCAAAACATCGATAATTATATTGCCAATAGTGTTCAAATTTTATAATATCGTAATGCCTTATGAATCAATTAAGAAGAAACTAAATTATTGAATACGAGCGTAAAAAATATGCATTAAAATTAAAGGCCTTCGTTTTTGCATTTAATTAAATTTTATATATCCAACATAACAAAATCCAGTTAAAATGATATATGCATTCTAATAACACAACTTTATCCCATCAAGAATCAGGAGTATTTTTACATAGCAAATGCATACGACTGTTTACCCTCCGAAGTGGCATCACGTTCTGAATTTATTATAAATGTTAATTCGGAGAATAGAATAATAATGTTCTTACTAAAGAACCACGATAAGGCGGGATTACTGAAACACGAAGAGTGAAAATATGCACTATAGCTCATCACAATAAAAATCAGGCATAAAATCGAATAGCAACAATATTCAAGTTCCAAAGTTTGATTGGATAGATTTAAGATGAGTTAGTTACATGTTCCTTGTGGATGTAGGGCTATCAAACAGCAAAAGTAAGCGTTCATTATATGTAAGAAAATTTCATTGATGATTGCTGGTAAAATTATATTTCATGTGATTCCTGCCTTAACACCAACAGATGGAAAAACATCGCTCTAAGTTATTATATGAATAATGAATCAGGATATTACATATTTTGAAAAGGAATTAGTAGAGCCCTAGCAAACAGTCTCAAAATGAAATTATGAAACTTTAGGACGACTTGTTTCTGTATAATATTTAATCTTGAATTTTCGTTTCGTTATAATTTTCGGAATACTCGAATATCATTGATTATTTTGTATAGTTTTTACATAAGTTTGAAAATCGAAAATTTTCTTATCTTAGTTTTGAATTACGATATTAAGTTTGAATTAATCAGAATATTTTTTCTAACACTGAAAAAATAATACTCACAGTATGGTGTTGTCATAATGTCGACGTATGGCAAAGCTGAATTGTTCTCCTATTGTTTCATTGAAATCAATTTTATACGCTAACGTGCTAATCTCTGGTAAATCGTTTAATAATTCAAACTTCTCCTGTACTGGTACTTGGAATCTCTTATTTTCCATGTCTCTCAACTAGAATTACAAAAATAAAGTCAATAAAATATAATTTCCTGATACAACATTGTTACCTTAAGTGCTTCAATCCAGATATTCAACAGTCATCGAAAAAAAAAAAAGTTTTTTTTTTGCATACATATTGTAACATTTGTTTTAATATAATGTATCTCTGAACTATATAATAGAAGTGGAATGTTTTCTTTAGCATCTCGTTTATTTTGGCAACTTTCGTACAGAAAACTACATTAAAAAAAAGGTTGAGTACGTTATACAAAAACGATTTTGGAACCTTACTACGTCCGATCACACTCTATATGACGGTCAGGCATCTTTTCAACAGCCTGGAAACGAATTTATCATGGCAAAAGGCTCGGTCGTAATATTTTCATGTCGAAGGAACACACGTTTTTCTTCCTTCTTTCCATAACGTATTTAGTGTTGGAGTACCACAGTTTTCCAACGTGTATTTCAACAGTCCAATCGCATAGAAGTTAATTGAAGATGCTTTCGCTGACTTGACGGTCATGTCTTTGTATGGAAAAGCATGAATATCGTTTCATTCTCCAGTTACTTGAGGTATGCGACGACTAAACAAGTATGGCATGGAAACAACGTGTGTACACGTCACTTGCATCGCTTATCCAGACGGAGATGGCTTTTACCACTGACCCTTCTTTTCGTGGCTTCTAATCTGGTACCAAAAATGCCAAACATTGCTGACTACAGCTGGTGCCCCAAGATGATCCATATTCTTTTGTTTTCCAATATCATTACGTAATAGAACTATCCCATTCTTTAAAATTTTAAATCGCCGACTTGTTTCAGTTTTTATGGTCTAAGTGTAATGATAATTTAAGTTGGAAATGACTGTTATATTCGATTCCAAGAAGCGATCAATTTTCGGTTCCATCACACTATCAAAGAATCTGAAAATGTACTTCTGATACAAGTAATCCCACCACGACTTTATATTGGCTGTGGCTGTCATGTGATTTGCTGATTTGTGTATTGGAAATCGTTTTGATTTAACTTACACAACACTCTGTAAACTATGAAATATCTTAATTATTTTTGAATTACTATAAACGTAAGAGGATTCTCAATTGTAAAAAATATAAACGAAAGCTCAGAAAATGATTATGTTTAGAAACGGTACACTTATTAAGAATATTTTCAAACGTATTACCATATAATGCCAAACAACAAACCTTAAAACGCAATATTTCGTTCGATATATAGGTAACTTCAAAAGTTATCCTGTCGTAGTCTCCACCGTATAGGGATTTGTCGACAGCAATTCTTTCTAATTCCACGGAAAAACTGCGACCATATTCTAACTTCGCAGAAGCTACTTTGTATCCATAACCTTTTTTTGGCACAAAACAATGAGGAATTCCATTACTGACGTTTGGATCCCAAACACAGCCTTTTCTTAAGCACGCATCTTCGCCATATTCTACACCTGCCATAAATAATAATTATTGTGTTTGTTTTTTTAATTTTAAGACCCTTCCTCCTCATTTATTAACATAGAAGAGAATCGTTTATTAATTAATGTGAGAAAACATTTATAATTTGATATTTATTGTGTATTTTTGAAACTAATTGCAGCTTAAGTTTAAAATATATATCAGGTGGAAAACGAAGTTTTATAATAAATATTAAAAAACACGGTAATACCAAAAACATCTTTAATACGGATGTTTCGGAATTTCCTTAAATTCCGTCATTAGCGTTAATATACCAAAAAGAGTTATTTCATAATATTCGGCCACCCAATGGCACAGTGGTATGTCTGCGGACTTACAACGCTAGAAACCGGGTTTCGATACCAGTGGTGGGCAGAGCATAGATAGCCCATTGTGTAGCTTTGTGCTTAACTACAAACAAACAATCATAATATTGGAACTACAAAAAAAAAAAACATTAGCATTGAGTGAGTTTTCGTATTTAATCAGAAGTTTAGAAAGAACGGACTTAAACGGTAAAAATATTATGGAATATACGATAAAACGTGCGGCATACACATGTTTAATAATTAAAATTGTTAACAGAGACTATTAAAGAGAGACAAATATAGAAAGACAAATATAGTAAAAACAACATAGGCAACGAAAATGTCAAAATTAAATAACAGGTACGATCTGACGAAGAGCGCTAGCTCGAAACGTCATCCTTCTTTAAATAAAAATACATAAAACTTGGCAATTGTTCAACCTGTTACTTTATCTTAAATATAAGTATAAACACTGTATCTTTGAAATAATAATAAATATCAAGTAAAAACACTGAGAATCCGGAATTGATTACATTAATGACAAGAGGGAGGGGTTAATGTTATTATTTAGTGTTGGGTGATCACTGAAAATGAGAGGCTTTCTTTAATACAGAGTTCGTAATCTGTGAATCTGGATTCGAGAATTCTAAAGTTTTCTAGCAGCATGGTGTGGTTGTTATTCTTACTGTGCAATCGATATAACACTCTGGTGGATTAGTTAGCTTACATCCGCTTCTTGCTGAAATTCCCATGTGCTCGTTTGCACGTATTTGTTGGTACCACAAGTGTATTATACGTCAACTTTTAGAATTACAAATATGTTTAAAACCAGAGATACTCCACCCATTCTTATGCGATCGTGGATCTTTTATAATTATTTAAACCATTTGAAGCTTTGTACTGTTAGTTTTGGTTTATGCTTTGGTGAACGCTCCTGAAGAAGCTGTAAAGCGAAACGTTGAATGTTTAATTAAATAAACACAACATTTTGTTCTTATAAGGTCGTTTATTTCTAGTATGTATATGTCTTCTAGACACTAACGTGCACTACAGAAATTAAATAATGAGCTTATCGTACATTCTATTATATAGTTACCATTTAAATCTGTTCTCTCTAACCTTCCGATTGAATACGAAAACTCGCTCAACTCTTGGGCCACTCTTTTACCAACGAATAGTGGGATTGACCGTCACATTATAACGCCGCCACGGCTGAAAGGGCGAGCATGTTCGGTGTGACGGGGATTCGAACCCGCGACCCGCAGATTGCGAGTCGAGCTCCCTAACCACCTGGCCATGCCGGGCCGACGTCCGTATTAAATATATTTTTAGGTATCACCGTGTTTTTGATATATATTTGATATGTATATACAAGCAATTAAGGCACACAAACCAACTAATACAGACTATTGTATCCAGAAAATTTGATTTAAAAAATCAGCTCAAAGTGTTTCGAAGGTCTGTCTCAATTTTGTTTTGATTAAATCAAGGTATTTCGATATAATGATAATTTGATAAAGTTGGTGTTCGTTATTAAGCACAAAGCTACACAAAGGGTTATCTGTGCTCTGTTCACCACGGGTATCAAAACCCGGTTTCTAGCGGTATAACTCCGCAGACATACCGCTGTGCCACTGGGGGGGGGGGCAATTTGATAAGGAGATAAATGTCTGGTACAAAATTAATTGTGAACTCCAAATATCGGATTCACGTGTTAAATATCTACATAATACTGATAAAATAGACAAGTGTTAACCAATTTAACATTCCGCCTGCTTTTGAAAAAAAACAATAAAATGTTTTGGAATTATACCTTTTGTTTATATATATGCTATTCTGAAAATTATTTTTCAAGAGGTAGGCCTTTAGTATAGTTATCCGACAGTCTTCATATTGTTTAGCTGGTTTTAATAAGGTTTTAGGAGGGAAATCATTATTGTTTTAATTTTTAATTAACTATTAATATTGTTTTACATTTATCCTCGAAAATAAATTTCAAATTTTAATCCGGATCGAAATCGACGTAAGTTGTAGCAGTAAAAATACATACAAAACCTAAAGACTTTTATTTATATCCAAAGCTTCCTAAAGACATCATATAAAACTATACTTTCCAAGTTATTCTATATCATGCATTTATAAATTACAAAAAAAACTAATTAATATCCATAAGAGTATTACCCCAATTAAAAAATATATATGTTTTAAATGTAACGCGAGACCTTCCTCATCTGATTGCATACTGGTTTGGTCTAGTACTATTCCATATCATACAAACGCTTTATTATATTTTATTGTTTTGAAAGCTTTTCTAACCATATTTATATTACAACTCACATGAATTGATTGCCGGAACTAATTGCACTTGGAAAAGTTTAAGTATCTCATATAGTCACGCAATTTTAAGCTTAAGATCCCCATTGTTCGTGGAGCTGATGAACCAGCAGGAACTGGAAGCAATAGTTTAGAGAAAGAACACCATTGTCCAAGATTTGTCCAATTGCTCGAAGCTATGTGTTGTATTAATGACTTTGACTGTGCATACTTTGAACATTTGTTCATCAATGAAACCCGAGTGCTGCCTCGAGGGGATAAGTTAATCTATTACGTGTGTTTCTTCGTAACAAACTAAACTCTGAATGCCCACTTTTAAAGGCTTCTAATATCGAATGTTATTTCCACCTGTATATACCTACTTACTTATCTATCTATATATCCATCGATATATATGTATGTATATATTGTTCTTCCTGAAAAACAAGATTTATGAAAATTATAACTGAATAGAGATATATTTTTTATTTTTGCAAAATTTACAAATGCTCCTCAGGTTTAGAGAGGTTCTTTGAGTTAAGCTTAAATATTAGTCTAAATATTAGAAAAAAATATTAAAAAGCCTTTTAAAAAATAAATATGAATTTCAGAAAGCTTATGTGATTCCCCAACTCAATTTAAAACTCTACAGTTCTGAAATACATGTGAAACGAAAACTAAACCACTTATTTTCAGAAAAGTTGGATTTTATAAAGGCATATAAAATACATAGAGATATTCATTTTTGTTTCAAATATTCGCGCAAAGCTCCACAAGGAATATATGCTTTAATATCCCTAATTTTTAGCTGATATACTAGAGAGATGGTAGCTAGTCACCAGCCCCATCGTTATCTCTTGCACTAGGCATATCGAATACTAACATTTTACTGATACTCTTATATCGCATCCATGGCCTAAATGTGCAGAGCGCAATTTGTTTTTGGCAATAGGACACGAAACGTGGACTCTCGGATCCACAGTTCTGTACGATAACCATTGAGTTACTCTGGGATCACCCAGAGAAGGAAAAATAAAATCTAAAGTGCCAAGCCAAGTTAAAACAGGTTTAAGGATTAATTTGTTGGAGAGGAATTGTCATAGCATGAGGCGAAAGACAAAGAGAAATTCCAGAACGATACGGCATGAAGACAGTTCAATCGACATAATTACACCATTTATACTCACTTCTATAAACTACTCAAATACATCACCAATACCCATACATGTATTTGATTTAACAAAATTTTTAAACAAAACTCAACAAGTGTTTTTTTTTTCTTTCTGATAGATCAAATATTTTTAAGAGTCTGCAAGTAGGAATTTGTACGTTAGAACTTTGGTTTTCGATTGTAGCGTAGAAAAACAATCAAGATGGATTACTATAATTTGAGAAAAAAAAACTATATAGTGAAATTTTAATCATCCAATTTCATTTCAGTATTTAGATCAGAAAATTATAGAGTGCTAAGTTTAATAGAGAATATTTAATATTTTTTACATTATTAACAATATCTTGTGACACCGTAAAGTGTATTGTTTGTTTACTGACAATTTGTTTCTTTTTCAAACCATTACATACTATTTTTTTCAGTATGCCCATGCTGTAAAAAACATTCACTATTCTGTACAAAGAATATCTAGTGGCAGAAAAACATGAATGTCACGAATTAAATGTTGTTGACTTAGAACAATATTTTTTATTGTCGTGCGTAGTATTTTTACTTAAATACTAACAGCCACTGACGTTTTGTTAAAAATTGTAGAAACTAAATTATCTTAAACTTTATGGTTAAGCAATTTACAGTTCACTGCATTGGGACTTGGACATTGGTGCAGTTGCCAAGTTTTAGAATCCGACATTCACTTTGGCAAGGGTAGTGCTTATAAAAATCTTTTATTATCCATTTTCAAAGGCGCCACAATATCTACTCTCTAGTATTGGTAAAAACACCCAAAATTATTACAGAATAACTCATTGTTGGTGTTATCAGGCGTGTGTCGAGGCAGCATACAAGTTTTAACTGCAAATCCCATCAAAATAGAAAAAAAAACAAAACAAAAAAACCACAAACGAAACTATAGGTTTAAAGACAGTTTATTAGGATAATGATTAAAAGAGAGAAGAGAAGTTAACACTTTACTTGTGAATGGTTTGCTCGTTGATAAGCACAAAAATGTATCCGATTTTTAGCGTCGTAACCCTGAAACTTACCACTTCGTAACCCTGAAACTTACCACCAAGCCCTGAGGGAGGAGGAGGGGGGGGGGCTGTTACCCAAGTCTGTAATTGTGAAACTTTTTATGATTGGGGCCATATTCATTCAATATTTCTGAAATTCCCTCTCTACAATAGACTGAAAGTACAATATAAACAACATACCTAGTTTTAAAACAGTTTCATACTGGTTCTTAAAAAGAAACTATTTAAAGGTTGAAATCCACATTTCCACTATAGAATATTAAGTAAGAAATAAAAAAAAACTCTTAATTAATCACAAAACGTTTTGATTAAGGCTGTTAATACAGTGTTCGGATGTTAAGAATATAATATAATAATAAAGAAATACGTATCTCTGAATGTGACGTTTTCGTTGAAAGCAACTCATAATATATATTAAACTTTCTGCATTTTTCGCAGGTTTAAAAACGAAACATGTATCTTTCTGATAATTAAATGCTTAAATAGGTTAGTGCGATGGCCCTAGTAATTAAGAAACTGAGCTGCAGTAAAACCTGAAAATGCATTCTTTATTCAGAAAACCTAATTGCTGAAAATAATTGATCGTCGTTATCTTGTCACTTAGAATAATGCATTAGGGGAAAATACTTGTCAAATTGCACAATCTCTCAAGCAGTCATTCTGCAAACCATAATGTATAACACGTTTAACCCACATATTCTTGCTTACCACCAGGTAGACAATCGATCCGATCTAATGAAGAATCAGCTTGTAACGGACCCCCATATACTGTCAAAGAGAGGATCCAAATGATCAAAAGGCCTGAGGTAATACTACGATGGAGTCTCGGCATCATGTTTTGCTAAATATAAATAAATAAATTTTATTATAAAAATTGAACATTTCTGTATATCATCAAAATCATGAATCGACACAATTATTCATATTTTCTAAACATGCTTATAATCTCTCTATATGGGTTATTACTTGAATATTAAAGAGTTCTTCCCCATCTCTATGTGAAACGTAAATCATTCCTTTTATAAAATTACTTAATATTCATTTACGTTTTGTTTTTTCAAAGCACATGGATTTACCTAAAATTTGTTAGCGCTTTCATCAAAAACGTACTTCTAAATTTGGATCTTAATATATTTAGCAACTTTAAAGCATTATTATGAAACAAAACAAGTTATATTTATGTAGTTATACAAGTGCGTAAAACATTTCATGATGGGCAAACATAAGGCAGTAGTTCTAGAAAGATTAGAAAGCAGAATAAATACATTATTAAGGAAAGATTAAACAACATCGTGAAGCCTAATACATACTCACCCCAGTGCTCTGTATCTGGGAATATTCTATTGTAACACAGACACTGTATAAGTGTCTATTAGCCTAGAAAAACTGCTTATCTGTTTGCTTGTGTCATTTGAGCCGTTTCGTAACATTTTAGGTCTATCAACAGCAGGTACACTGTTACCAGTTTAATCAGGTAACGTCAAATTCAGACTATCACAAAATTAGACTGATAACTCTAACATTCGTTCAGCTCTCATGCACTGAGTTTACATTGTGAAAATTTCTTCATTTTATCTATCAAGAAAATAAGAAAAGAATAAGTGATGCACATTGTGGTAAGGAAAATACCAAAGATTTTTTTCTTTCTACAATGTTGATATTTGGTTCGAAATTATATTTTGTTCTGAATATGTGCTTGTATTTTGGATTTTTTTTTATGTAAGAAGTAGTCAAGAAAACCATTAAGTTGATTTTTTTTTAAGTTACCTTGTTGCCTGCCATAGGTTACGGATCAGAATACGTTTCATATGATACTAAAACTCATCAGCTAGGTGAGACCAACAGCAATTCTTTTTTCCCTAATCGTCATATATTCTTTGTTACGGACTTTATAACAGAGTCGTGTAAAATTAGCAATTCAGACGTAAAGTCTCCTGGGCAGTAACCTGAGGTACAGATTTTAAGTGTTACTTTTGCTCAACTTTAAAATACGTAATAAATTGAGATGGGGAGACGTGAATAAAAAATAATCAGCCTAGATAATGTTTGATCCCATTTTATACCTATAAAGATGTTACTAGTTTTGATACCTATAAAGATGTTAATAACTTTCAAATGTAAAATAATTATCAGTTTTGGAGTTCATTTAGTTAGCTTTAATAATTATACTTACTACGTTGTTGATTTACTAAAACAAAAACTTGGGTCTTCTCCCGAAGGCCTCAACAACTAAAAGCAAAATAGTTTTGATACTAGAAACACTAAACTCTTGAACGTTTTGTTATGGTAAAGCAATTCAAAAATATAATAATTTTGAAATCTTAAGTCTCACCTAAAGTTTACCTATGAACTTATTATTTATCTTGTCATACGATATAATCATTCGAAGTACAAAGTATACTGATGGGGATAACACCATATCTTCAAAATCAACTGTTAATGGAGAATACTTTACCCCAGGGAACAACCAGATCTCGGTCATGAGAACAATTGCATCTGGTGCTATCACTATAATCACCTGATATTTGTAGTGAGCCGTTTTTTTTGTTGTTTTTTTACATCATTGTATTGGTATATCTAGAAAATTTCAAATAATTTTTCTTAGAATGGTTTAAATATTTTATAATATTAGAAAATTCATTCCATTTTAAAAGCCTCCTTGTAGCTCTGCGGCAAGCCTGAGGGCTTATAGCATGTTAGATATACGCGACTGTTTCAATTGAAATTTAATGCGAGTGTTAGGATTTATATGGCGCGAATCTTAGATTTAGTTGTTTTAGAAACGATATTTTACCGTAAGTGTGTTTACGTAACTGTTTACGAATCATACGTTGTTATGAATTGGCGATTGTTATGTTATTGCGTCATGTTACTAGAACCTTCTGAGTTTTTCTCGTTGATTTAATTGAGTATTGTTGCAAACTAATATCGGGTAGCATGTGGAACGTTTTAGACCTCCGTCGGGGTATAAATACGCGTCGAACATTTAGTTCGAGAGATAGAGCTAGACTGCGTGATTGTGGAGTTTAGCCATAAAGAGCGTATAGTGAGGATTTTTACAGTGACATTATTACATATTTTATTGTAATACAATCTGCAATTGTAGTAGAGAAGAATAATTTGTCTTGTCAAAGACAATTATGTAAAGCTCTGGATACAACTGTGATAACCAACAGTGTACCGAACATTTGCACACATGTTTGCCTTGTTTTAACATATCATTTTAAAACAAGTGGACTGTGTTGTTGCTTGTATGTTGTTGAAATCTATCGCCAACAAGTCACAGACACCTACTTTAAAGAATTTGGTCCATACATATAACTTGACATTGGATTTCAATACCTTCGATAGGTACAAAACTGATGGCCCATTGTATAGCTCTGTACTTAGTAACAAACAAACTAGTTCAAAAGCACTCGGCCTGGCATGGCCAGGTGATTAGGGCGCTAGACTCGCAATCTCTGGGTCGCGAGTTTGAATCCCCCTCCCACCAAACATGTTCATCCTTTCAGCCGTGAGGGCTTTAAAACGGTCAATCCCACTATTTATTGGTAAAAGAGTTGGCGGTGGTTGATGATGACTAGCTGCCTTCCCTCTAGTCTTTCATTGCGAAATTAGAGACGCTAGCACAGATAGCCCCCGTGTAGCAAACTTCCAATGAAGCCAAATCAAAAGCACTCAAAATAATTAGAACGATTATAATTATATTTAAAATCTCTAAGCTTCAATCTAAAAACTTATTATGTTTAAAAGGCTGTTTCTAAAAATCTAATCTTAACTTATAAACTGAAAGTGAGTCATGGAAGATAAAATAAAGGTTAAACCAATAAAACTTGCGTATCTTCAGTATATTAGTCTGTTGGTGAACTACTATTAAATTTATACATTTGTTTACTTAAAAATTGGGACGTGTCTTGTTCTTATTTTCAAAGACATTGGAAAAAATTAGATCAACTTGGAACACCAATACCATTCAAACACGTCATACCCCAGCCATGATAAGCAAACTGTGGCGTCGAGTAACAAGTGAGAATTCATGAAAACTAAGGACAATGGCAAAAGCTTTCGACGTGCACCAGGCAACAGTAAGCAACAGAACCAAAACGGAATGCCAACTGCAAAAGCAAAACAAATCAAATGTAGACAAGCTGTTTCATATTCGGGAAAGGAAGAGTATCTCTAAAAAATTGGAGAAAAATGGTAGTACATGGTTGCATTCGACAAAACATATGAGCACCTTAATAGCTGTAACAAGTCTCGTTCCATTTTCTACCGGTCAATGAGAAACACAAATACAAAAATTGTACACGGACATGTCACGAAAATTTTTCAAAGAGATTTATGATCACCATTGGATACTGCACCAAAGGCAAGTTATAGACCAGTAGAGAGGACACAAAGGTCAAAGTGAGCTCTGCTTATTATCGAATCAATGTTATGGACCCTATATACCGCATAGAAATACCGACTTTATATGGAAACGAGGCCAACTGGATATGGGTTCACTAAGATAAGACTTCCAATTCTAGTCATATCTCCGGTTGAAACGTCCCATACTTCAAGCAGATGGAAAATGTATTCGTGTTATTCGATACAAGATCATACTGGTCAAGTGGTCGGATGTAGCAAGTATAGACTTTTCTGTGATCGTATTGTTGAAACGGGTACTGGAAAATGTCTGAAGGAAAGTGCAATATGCTTTGGACATGACCACCTTACGACAGTGCTTTTTGTAATGGAAACTACACTGCAGGGCTATTATAAAAATGTACAGTAGTAGTAATATAAAAAAAATAGCATAGTCTTTTTTACTTTCTATTATTCACGGCTATACTTGCGCACTGTTGTTAAACAAAGGTATTACTATTTACAAAATAAAATTTCTCCATGTTTGTTTAGCTATTAAAAAAAAATCTGATATTACATGTTTCTAAGATATTTTACCAATTTATTTGTTTGTTTAAAAAGATGGATATGTAACGTGAAGTACGTTTATGACTTTCCAGTTTAACCTATGAAATCATGTAGTTATTAGCAACTAAAATCTGTTGAGTACCTTACAATTTAAAGAAAGTTAGTGAAATATCAACGCCGAAATGGACATCATAGAACATGTTTAATCAACTACACGATTGTGCAGATAACTAGGGAGGATTGGTAACTATTTTAAATGCAAATGAAGTAGGCCAAATAATTTTCATCCAATTTACAATTATCATATACAAAGAAATGTTGGATTCGTTTTAGTAATATCAGAGTTCCATGAGCAACCAGCCTTAATCCAAGCTAGAGCCTGGAGGTACCTAGAGGTACTCGAAATATTTGCTATCTTGTGTCACAATCGTTGAAAGAAAAGCACTTATAGAATATAAAGCACGAATGCTATGTCATGACTATTGTGTATTCGACCTATATCGCTAAGACGGCCCACTCAGCCAGAAAAGTGTTATCAGGCTAATCGCAGCTCTCCAAGTGGCATGTTGGATAAAAAGTAGCTATACTTCTGCTGTTCAAGCATTTATACATATGTAAGACTGGTAATTATACTGGGTGAGTGATATCATAGTCTTTTGCGTAGCTTTGTGTTTAATTTCAAACAAACAAGCAAACATAAACGAGGGCTATCTGTGGTAGCCGTCCCTAATTTAGCAGTGAAAGACTAGAGGGAAGGCAGTTAGTCATCACTATCCACCGCTGACTCTTGAGCTTCTCTTTTACCAACGAATAATGGGATTGACAGCACATTATAACACCCCCACGTCTGAAAGGGTGAGTATGTTTGGTGGGACTGGGATTTGAGCTCGCGACCCTAAGATTGCTAGTTGAATACGTTTTCAGTGTAACCATTCTCAAAATGAAGGTGAAATTACACTAAAACATCTAACTTTTCTAATTTTTAAAGCGGACCTGGCAAGAAGCAAAATCGTAATATTTCGATATTAAAGCATTCCTAAAGTGTACTGCAGAAGGTCATTGTGAGTTGTGTATCATATTAACTGCTTTACTGAAGAGTTTATCCTGAGCGTCAACAGTTATTCCATTGAATAACTTGTTTGTATTCACAAATTTTAAAGGTGTATTTTATGATAGACAAACTCGCTGATATGTATGCCTGTCTTATGAACTTCAGTGAAAAATATTCAATTTAATACTAAATTAGTACCTACAGTGTTAATTCGTGTGTTCACTGCAAACAATTTCAAATGCCTAGATATAGTTCCTCTTTCTGTACCACGTTCGATTGCCATGATATCACAGAGATTCATATTGTGATTAATACATTTCTTGAAACGTTTGCATTAATTGTAGCTACTTATTCGAACTAATACATACCAAAGTATGAACAGTACTCAAATTTAATTGTTTAACCATCCGCTGTGACTAATATCAAAAAGAAAAAATCTTAACTGGAACCATCCGTCTGATAGCCAGGTTCACATTTTCTTACACTGATAGAAATAGGAAGTGTGCACTATTGTGTCTATGACTGAACTATAATGAAATACCGATATTTGAAAGTAAAGTTTTTTCTCTGTTGTTCTTGCTACCACTATTATTTGAAATTTTGAAAGTTAATATCCTCCTTTGCTCATCTTTCAAAAATTCTAGTCGTCAAATTTGACAAAAAATACTATTATAATGTTATTTCACTTTATTTCATCTTCTAGTCGATCATATTCGGTTTGATGATTGGTGAATTTCGCCATAAACTGAATTTTATTTTCAAAATTTATCTATTGAAATTTAACTAGTTATTAGAGTGTCAGGACTGTGAATCCGAGGATTCATGCTTCGTGATATGTTGGGGCAAAAAGAACTCCACACTTGAAGCCGTCGGTGAATTATAAGAGTGACGGTGAAATCCCATTATTTAATAAGACAGGAATAGCCCAGGGATTGACTAATTGCCTTCTCTGTAATATATCGCTTCAGAGTTAGGAGCTACTATGCTAAAATATACCTTTTGTAACTTTAGGCAAAATCTTAGAAATATAAATAAATAATTGTAACTTTCTTGTTTATTCTACAATAAATGGAGCTGACCAGTACACCTTACAGAATAACTATGCTCCATGCTATAGGGCTAAAAAGGTTGCAAGCAATGCAGTAGACGTGAAATAAATAGGAAATTTCACTCTACGTGTATTGAAAACACATCTTAGGTTATATTTCATTACTTCAGTTGAAGAACTATCTTCGAAGGGAGAGGTTCAAGACATTATGCTGGCCAGGCAACATCCCAGATCTCAACCCTATCGAAAATGCTGGAAGGTAATGGGTAACAAGGTGCAAGAGAAGAAACTAAGAAGTACCCTGAAACTGCTTACATTCAGTCCCTCGTGCACCCTATGTCACAGGGTTGTCAAACAGTCGTCAATGGTCAGAGAAGGTACAACCAAATATTAATACAAGAAACAGACTCTGTGACCGTTTCTTGTCAATTACATTAGTGGCGTTATAGTTAAAATTAGGTTTTATTACTCAAAGACCATTTTCGTATTTGCCAAGTATTTGTTGATCATCTGCTGTAATACGTTTGTCGCGGATGTATATATTTGTTTGGATTACTGGGCTATCTTCTCTATCTACCGCTGGAAATCAAACCCCGGATTTTAGCGTTTTGAGTCTGGAGACTTACCTCTATCCCATCGGGGGGATAGATAATCCTAAGGATCATAAATATTTTTTTCTATCGTTTCGAATTTTGAAACCATAATATCAAATAAGAAATTAGTCCCTCATCTTGCCGTAAAGGTGTATATTTATACGAAATAGTTAAAACATAGCATTTAAAATAATTATTATACATTTATAACATTTAAAATATTTATGTATTATACTTGCATCTGAATACGTATGGACTATTTTAGTCTTTTTCACGATTGAAGTTTGATGGTTCTGTAATATATAACTTGCTAGAAATTTAATAGTTATTTAACTCAGACTACTCTAATTCTATATAATAACAAATGTTGTTGGACGATGATAGTGTCACGATTCCAGTTTTAATCCTAACTCATTGGTGGTTGTTGTTTCGGAAAACTTAGATATTTATCAAGTAAAGATAAAAACAGACTATCTTAATACGAAAGATTATAAAACTAAAAATAGGAATGATTGTAGCTTTCGCAGATAACATTGTATAACACAGATAACATTTTATAACACACCTTCATTTGTTTCTACGACAGAGAGAATTTCTATTTTATTTATTTTTAAGTATACCTTAAAAAATTGTTCGTGCTAGGATTGTGTGATCACATTCTCGAACGTATGACACTGAACACGTACAAATTTTATTGGACTTGCACGTGAAAAATTATATAGGATCCTTGTAGAAATACGTTGTGTAGTTGGCGGATAGTTTTAATTTCAACATAAACAAGTTAACATTGTCCAAATGTTTTATGTTCCAAAATTGGTCCCATTTCTAAAATGCTTTTCTCCTTTTCTTATCAAAGTTTTGTTATTTTCTTAAAGCCTTTCACTAAGGAAGGAGGGGAAAATATGAGAAAAAAATTATCAAAGTGTGGTAGTAGAAAAAAAGTTACTCTATTGTCTAATGTCTTGTTTCAAACATACAACACAATTATTTATTTTGCACAGTAAATGGAACGTGTCAAAGCATGCATACCTTCGATATTTGATAATACTGCAACAGCCTTTTGAATAATGCTAAATTTGTCTTGGTTTTAATAATGATAGGTCTTCAACTATAGAGTTCGCTGGTGCTCTCGCCCTGCACATATATCGAAGCTATTTACACTCAAATTGCTATTATTCATATTATGTATCAAGTACTACTGTATTTGACACCATGTAGTAATAAGAAAATTCAACAGCAGTTATATCCTGTATATATATATATATATATATATATGTAAGTATTTGTTTGTTTGTTTGTAATTCAGCACAAAGCTTTACAATGGGCTATCACCACGGGTATCGAAACCCGGATTCTAACGTTGTAAATCCGCAGACATACCGCTGTACCACTGGGGGGGGGGCTATATATATGTAAGAATTAAAAAAAAGCTATGTCTGTTGGAAAGATTGAGATAGTTAGAGGAAAATTAGAATTTCTACGGGATGGATCTGTTTGGGTTTTTTTTGTCATCTTTGCTAGATGATAACACTTTCGAAACACATAACTCAGGTTGTTGCCTTGAAAGATGCTAGTGTAGTACTGCTGTAACTTATATCTAATGCACCCACGTGTTTGGTTTGAAAAGGCATTGCATTCATCTCAGATTGCAGTTCGTTCGTCACTATTTAACATTATTTTTGTTATATTCCAGTATAAATCATCTTCTTGAAACTAGTTTCTGCGCTGCAATATTTGAAATATCCTGGGATTACTTTAACAAATATAGTTTTGTAAGATATATATGTAAAACAAATCTTTCTTCTGGTTTATCGTACAGATATGATAAGCTGTTTGGGGACTATTTAGAAATAGATTTAGTATTTTGTGCCAAAAGAGTATTTTTAATCTGTCCGTTTAATAAAATACGAAACTAAGTACATACGAATCTTATTTATACAGATTGTTTGTTTGTAATTAAGCACAATCCTACAGAATGGGCTATCTGTGCTCTGGCCACCACGGGTATCAAAACCCGGTTTCTAGCGTTGTAAATCTGCAGACATACCGCTGTTCCACTGGAGGGCCCCTGTTATATGAAACTTAAAACTTGTTTATGGGCTATCTGTGCTCTGCCCACCACGGCTATCGAAACCCGGTTTCTAGAGTTGTAAGTCTGCAGACATACTGCTGTGCCACTGGAGGGCTCCTGTTATATGAAACTTAAAACTTGTTTATTATCGGATGTTCAAAACAAAATATTTATGGTTACAAAGTTTCACCAGGTTAACCTGGCATCATCAAATGCAATAAGTACAAGGAGAGAACTTCTAATGTAGATAATATGAAAAAGTAGTAGATGGATACATTGGTGTTTGATTGATTGAGGTTGCTTAACAAGACTGCGAAATACACACAAAAAGATTTTGCAAATGGTCAAACAATTAATACTATATTTCTATGCATTAAGAATTTTGATCATAAAAGTAACTAGAAATCAGCGAAATTAATACAAAAAATTTAAAATTATGTCAAAAGAAAAACTGTGGTAGGTTCCTTAATTCAAAGGTTGCTAAACTTCGAACAGCATTGAAGATCAAATTAAGCTGACCTCCCTTCCTGTCATTATCGTTTGTTTACTCAGTTTCATTATTTATCAAAACAAGGCGTAGCATTTTGTTCATTAATGAAACAAGATTTCTAATTAAATTTGAAGACTTTCGTTAATTTATTATATCTATATATTCTATTCCACTAATACTACTGTAACATAAAAACAAACAGATATTAGAAGCGCATCAAAAAAGTACATGAACTGTGTTCTGAACGTTTTGTATTTACTTGCTTTTCAGGTATTTGACTGTTCCCATATCGGTTATGTAAGTATCAGTCTTTTTTTTTTAAAGAAGTTCTAAAGTGAAATATATAGAGTCAATTAAACTTTATGATGTAATTATATATTTAATTTATATGTTATTAATTTAACACATAATAAGTTTCGAGAAAATAATTGGTTGTAAAAGAAAATAACTTAACCTAATGAACCTAAGCACATATGTGGAGTCTCTTACTAGACTAGACGTACAGATCAAACTAAAAATGTTGTGTGTAACAGTGTTTCGTGCAATGTTAGTGTAAACAACATTGTCTTGTTTTATCTAAATGTGGTCTTATTTTCAATCTTTAGAACCATAAGGAGAGTGATTATCAAATAGTTACGGTAAGTACGAGCAAGATAATATTTTAAAGTAAAATAAGTTTTAACTCGAAAATTAAAAATCAAACAAAACCTCACTAGTTTATAAAACTGCTGTTTAAATAAACTGAAAGTTGACTTTTGTATTTGAAGGGAGAAGTAAAAGTCAACTGATCGATGTTAATTCCACTAAAACTGATAAGCTATTTTTTCTGTCTCTCATAAAGTAATTAACCATTTCTATGCTGCAAATAAACGGGCTTAGCCTAGTGGTTAACGTGTTGGCATATGTATCAAAAGATCTAGAATTCGAGACGCGATGTCATGGAACACGCTCCACATTTTTAGAAGTAAACATGTTATAGAAGTGACAATCTCAACATTATTTGGTTCAAAGAGTCGAAAAAATCCCTTGTAGCAGCGGGTGCTGCTGAGTAGTTATCTGCCTTTTAGTTAGTAGTCCATAATTAGATGTTAAAATGAATCCTAGTAAGAGTTTAGTTTGGTTTGAATTTCGCGCAAAGCTGCACGAGGGCTATCTGTGCTAGCTGTCCCTAATTTAGCAGTAAAATACCACCCACCGCCAACTCTTGGGCTGCTTATTTACCAACGAATAGTGGGCTTGACCGTCAAATTATAACGCCCCCACTGCTGAAAGGGCGAGCATGTTTGGTGAGACGGTTTGTTTATTTGTAGTTATGCACAAAGCTACACAATGGGCTATCTGTGCTCTGCCTACCACGGGTATCGAAACCCGGTTTCTGGCGTTGTAAGTCAGCAGATATACCGCTGTGCCACTGGTGGGACGGAGATACACTGTCTTTCATACTATTCGCAAGCTTCACGTGTGAAACTAACTTAGAGCGTAAACATTCCAGCCATAACATCCCATTTCCCCAGAACAACCAATCTTGTCTGCATCCAGTTGTCGGAAGATGGTTGCTCCTAAAGAAACATGAAAACAATGAAATAATGGAGGTTAAAATCATTGAAAATTCGGCTTTAAAGTAAGGAAACACAGGCGGTTTCCAGTGTGACGAGGAGCGCACACATAATTTCTGCTATCACATATATAAACACGTGTTTCCTGACGTTAGCATTCTTGCCCCATTAATAGTCACAACTTTTTATGACAAGCATAATTAAATCTAAGATATATATAGATCCATACATACTATTATTTTAAGGATGAAAAATCTAAATTAATCTTCAAGTTACATTAATGTTATACAATATAGGCCTTCTTCCCCAGGCTTGGCATGCCTTGGTGGTTAGGACGCTCGACTCGCAATCAGCGGATCGAGAGTTCGAATCCACGTCACCGAACTCGCTCGCTCTTTAAGCCAAGGGAGCGTTATAATGTAACGGTTAGTTCCACTATTCATTAGTAAAAGAGTAGCACAAGAGTTGGCGGTGGGTGGTGTTGACTTAGATAGGGCTAGCCCCCACCGACCAAATGCTACTGTACTCAGTTATACATACAACGTCATGAAACCATAAATGCTATCTTAAAAACTAGGGATGCGTATCTCATCATAGTAGTCAATACGATACGTATCTAGATACAGAAGTTTTACCAACGGTTTGTTACAAAGTTTGACAGTCTTGTCTGTAATTTATTATCTACATTACTAGAATTGTCTTATTTAAGTACTTCACACTTTACAGTGATTATTTTTTTTTAAATTCTCAGGCTTAATCAACTAAATGGCAGCTAGCAAGAGAAATGAAATTAAAAAAAGTTAATATCTGTCTATATATTTTGTTACTGTTAATTTGTTTTGTTACTTTGCATGTAATGTTTTTGATAAAAGGAATGAAGACAACGTGTAGAACTCAATACTCATCTTCCCTTACTGAATCATTAATTTTTTCTGTACAAAACACTTATAATGTTTACTGAAAGTTTACCAAATTTCGTGCTGAAACATAAATCGTATCGGACGATGTACTGATACAATTTTATCCCGGCTTCACGATACGATACTCCTAATAACTCAAGCTTAACTTCATGAATGTCCAAGCATGCGTGCATGGTATAATTCAAGTAAACTGTAAAAAAAAAAATTATTATTGTAATAATTTTTGACAGTTTTCTTTACAAAGAATTTCCAATGCTTTTAAAAATCTGCGACATTTTATGTAACTTCCATGAAATCTTTAAGAACGTTAAGAAAGTTATATTATTGAAAAAACATTATGTTTATGTTCTATAACTAATCATTTACATTAGAAGGAAATATTCTACTTTGATACAAGTTATACGATATGTCACTATGTGTTTCTGTTTCGTTTTCATTTAAGATGAGTAATTTTTATTCTCGAGTACTATAAAGGTTGTTGGCTAAAGGACACTATTTAGGCTAAGAAAACGCTACCAAAAAATGAAATATAACACCATTTCAACACTTTATTTTAATATTAATTTTATACAAACTACCAGTTAGTCTCCTACATCAAACCGCAATTTTGAGAAATTCAGAAATAGATAACTAAGAAGAAAATAAACGTATTTGTTACCATACGTTTTTACTTCTGAAGTATAAAAATAATAAAAACATTACAATTTTATTAGTCTTATTCCACTTTGTGGGAATAACTAAAAATTCAGACCATAATAACATATAATATATATAGTAATAATAATAATACTAATAATACATAATAATACTAATAATACATAATAATACTAATAATACATAATAATACTAATAATACTAATAATGCATAATAATAATAATAATATATAATAATACTAATAATGCATAATAATACTAATAATGCATAATAATACTAATAATATATAATAATACTAATAATACATAATAATACATAGTAACTTTACAGCAGTTTTCTTTTCTGATTTTTACTTTGTCAGCGTCCAAAAAGTTTGAATGTTTATTTAAATTAGAATTGTTTCTGACTAAACTCAACCATTAAAAATCTGATTAAAAAGAATCTGATTGTTTCAATAAATTGCCGTATCTGTACTGTGTTATTATTTCTTTGCATTTTTTTTTTAATTTCAGGACTGCATAAACAAACAAAATATGCTGCTTGGAAACAATGAACTGTTGTAAATTTGAAAATATCAAATACCAGTTTATTTCAAAAGCCATTTCTTTGAATTATATTTGTCGTACTAATACTATTATTAAATATGTAAACAAAACTTTTTATTAAATAAAGATATCTTTCTATGATTAACTTTGGCATGAGTTTTATTATAATATTCTCTAATAAAGAACTGTTGATTTTTTAACAAAATAGATTTGCAAAATATGTCATTGTAACAGCGGAGTTTGTCAAAACAACAAGATTAATTCAATTAAAAAGAATTAGACATCCTGAGGATGACGTTGTAACGTCGAAACATGTAGAGTCGTCAACTTTTTGAAGGCCTTAGATA